TCCTCCTTGGAGGTGAATCCCATCCTCCATCCTTTGTAGGCCTTTCTTTTTAGCCTCAGGAGGTCTGCTAGATCCTTGGAGAGCCGGGGGGCAGCTGTGCCCTCTTGCTGCCTTTCATCCAAGATGCAATAGACTTAGCTTGTGCATGGAGGATCGCTCCCTTGAAGAACAACCACTCTTCCTGAACTCCCCTCCCCCGGGGTCGTAGTCCCTTAGGGCCTTACTGACAAGCCTCCTGAGCTTGTCAAAGTCAGCTTTCCTGAAGTCAAGGACTTCCGTGTTGCTGACTGACTTGCCAGCTTTACGGCGGATGGTGGAGGTGATCAGCTCATGGTCGCTGTCACCCAGCTTCCCATCGATCACTAGGTCACCGATTAGGTCATCCCCAGTAGCCAGTACCAGGTCGAGCAGCGCTTTACCTCTCGTTGGCCCGTAGACTTCTTGAGTCAGGTAGAGGTCATCCACACACGATAGGAAGCTTTGCGACCGCTCAGATTTTGCTGAGTGATCCTCCCACAAGATGTCTGGGTAGTTGAAGTCACCCATGACAACCATGGTCCTGGAGCACGCAGCCTCAGCCAGTTCCTGGGTGAACTCCTGGTCAAGCTCTTGACTTTGGGTGGGAGGTCTGTAGTAGACTCCCACCATTGTGTCCCCTGTGCTGTGTTCCCCACGGATTTTAACCCAGAGGGTCTCCAGTCATCCACCCTGGTTGCCAAGATCAGCTTACAGGGATGTGTAGCTTTCCTTAACATAGAGAGCTACACCCCCGCCCCTTTTATCTACACGATCCCTCCCGTACAGGGTATAGCCATCTATACCCGTGGTCCAGTCATTGGTGGAGTCCCACCAGGTCTCCGTTATCCCTATGATGTCGTAATTATTTGCATTAAGCAGGAGGATGAGTTTCTCCTGCTTATTTCTTTTAAGGCAACTCAAAATCATGTGTTTCTCTTTCCCCAATGAATAATAATAATCAAAATCTCTACAAGTTTATAGAACTTTAAAATTCATTCCTTTTACAACGTGTTTCAGAGAGAACTATACAGAGATGCTGCTTGTTGTTTTTTTTCTGAACTCAGTGGACATTTTTCCTCAGTAAAGACCATGGGATCAAACCCAGTAGTTTTTAAATATTCTTTTGGGCAGTACTAAATATCTGTAGACATTATGTAGATGTATTTTAGTCTGACTGGTGTGAAGACCAATGATGAAATTATTCAAGTATTTTTAACCTCATATGCCAACCAAGTGAAGCATTAACAGCCTCCTAAAAATCATAAGCAGCAGATTAAAGTGTAAATGCCTTGGGGCAACAAATTCCATTTAAAAATATGTGCGGTTCATGCCCTTTCTAGTTAATGTCGCTACATATTCCAACCATAATAGTGAGGTATGTTTATTCCACGTAATATCCATAATCAATGTTCAGAACATCAGTTTTACTAGTAAAATGCTTTATTTCTATAAGTTTTCATAGTGTTTGCAGAAGGATATTAGGTAGATTTATTTAAACCAATCCTTTAAAATACATGTTTTTTACTGATTGCTGGCAACAGAAAAAGTGCTGATAAATGGTCAGATGGTCATGGCTGTATTTACAAGGTAATTAAATCAAATCTATCAAAGGATACATAGGCCAAATTTCTTTTTATCACGTTAGGAAATAAATCTCATACCTTTTAACATCTTCGTATTGTCAGGAGGACTACGTGGATAACAGCTGTTAAAAACAAAACTTTCCAATTGTTATTACTCTGGAAAAGTGGTTCAGGGGATTTCACTTAGACTGAATGCAGATGTTATGATGTTCCAATTCAAGCTTCTGTATGGCTTAGTACTATCACTTACACTATACATAGACTCTGGATTTCATGTGTGATATGGCTTCTCTGCACGCACCCCCCCCCCCCCACTCTTTTTTTTTGTTTTCCCCCCAGTTTTTTC